TTGTCTCCTTTGTCTGGGTTTAAGGTTTTTGAATAGAGTAAAACATCGCAAATTCAATATTTCTTAATAATTATTAGTTATGGGGTTACCAATGAGAAGATAAAGAAGAAATCCTTACTCACAGAAAAGTGAGAATAAAATATCATTTTAAATATAATGTTTTATATTAAATTTGTGGTGACGTTTGTCATTTGTGCACAGTTTGAGCTACTTGTAAATCTGCTACTTTTTTAACCATACTTTTACTTCGATTCAAACATAAAAACAGTTGAAAGAGTAGTATAATAAACTGCTTTGTACCCTTCACCTGGATTCACTAATATTAATATTTTATCATATTTGATCTCTCTCTGTCTCTCCCACCACACACATGCACACACAAAATTGTATATACATCCCTTCACTAGGAAACTAATGGAAATTGTTACAGATATCATACTCTAACATTGAATACGTCCCCACGCATCTTAAAAATTAAATTTCTATGTAACCACATTACCAGTATCATACCTAAAAAAATTAACAGTAATTCAATATTCTCATTTAATATAGAGGCCACATTTAATTTTTACCGATGGTCCCTAAATTGTGTATTTTGGATTTTATTCCCCTGATCTAGAATTCAATAAAGGTTCATAAGTTGCAGTTGGTTAAGTCTCTTTAGTTTCTTATAATCTAGAATGAAGCACTCATATCTTTTTTTTTTCCCGTGACACTGACTTTTTTAAAGAGTTCAGGCCATTTGTCTGATAGAATGCTCCACATTTTGGATTTTTCTGAGTGTTTCCTTTATGATCAGATTTAGGTTAAGTTTTGGTAAGAATTCTCCATGGGTGATCTATTGCGCTTCTCATCACATCGTGTCAGAAGGCACATGGTGTTAGACTGTCCCACTATTGCTCACGCTGAGCTTGATAACTTGGTTAAGATGGTGACCACTAGACATCTCCATGATAAAGGTACATTTCACCCTTTACAATTAATAAGCAATCTTTAGGATGAGAATTTGACTCTATGTTATTATCTTGTTTCCCAACAGCCATTCTTATTACTACAAGTTCCCCATTGTGTGGATGTATCATAATTCATTCAACTAGACACTTAAGGATGGGAATTTAGGTTGTTTCCAGAAGTTTGCTATTACAAATAACATCAGATGAATAACCTTCTGAAAACATTTGTTTTATATTTGTGGAGGAATCTTCAGGATAAATTCCTTAAAGTATAATTGTTGAATAAATGCATATGTATTTTATTAGATATTACAAAATTCCCCTCACTGGAGTTATAACATTTCCTGCTCCTACTATCAATGTATGGGTATGCCTGTTTTCTACGACTTCATCAACCTTGTGTTTGAATGTTTTTTATTTTTGCCAATCTGATCGGTGAGAAATGGTATCGCGTAAAAGTTTAACGGCATTTTTCTCTTAAGGGAAGTTAAGCGTCTTTTCATATGTTTAAGGGCCATTTTGTTTGTTTTTCTGTGAACTAACCGGGTCTCTTGCCCACTTTTCTATTGAGTTAGTATTTTTTCTCCTCTCAACTTTAAAGGTTCTTTATATTTTACAGAAATATAAATTTATTTCTGATATAACTTGAAATAGTTTCTCCTAGATTGTCATTTGTATTTTGACTCTAGCTATGGTGCACGTGTACATATATTTATTTATCAAACAAAAGGTTTTCTTTTATTACTCCTGAATTGGGAGTTTCTGAATTTGGAAAGGTTTTCCTCATGTTCAGGTTATAAAGGAAGTAAACCATGTTTTCCTCTGGTATTTGCATGACTTCTTTTCTTTTTAAAGGTATTGATTGATTGATTGATTGATTACTTTGGAGTTTATTCTGGCATAGGGTGTGAGGTACAACTCCAATTTTATTTTACTTTTTTCAAATTGCTATCCAGTTGTCTCATTGCCATTTATTTAAGATTCCTCTTTTACTCCAGTGATTTGAAATGCCACTTTGATCTTATTTTAAACTTTCCTGGGTATTTGTTTAATTATTACTGGGCCTTTTTTTTTCTGTCTCATTGTTCTACATAATCATGTACCATTACAATACTTTAAATTATATAATCTTTATAGTATGTTTTGCTATTGGCGGAGTTAATTTCCCATTTTACTCTTTTTTTTTCAGAATTTGTATTGCTATTCTTAAGCATTTGTTTTCCATACAAACCCTAGAATAAACTTGTCTAGCCCCAGGAATATGCTGAAAGGAAACAGTGCAAAATGCAGCAAAAATTCTAATGAAACAATTAGAAGTAATTCAAGTGCTCTCTCTTTGGGAAATACTCTAGAACTAAAGTCTGACATCTAGAGGTCACTTTAGTAACTGCATGGTACTAACTAAACGTCTGATAGTCTTCCTATATTATAAGCAATGCCTTTTGACAGTGTTTAAAACCTAGAGCATATTTTGCCTTGGAAAAACGAAGATCTGTTAGCGGAAGAGAAAGCAGTACATAAATTAATAAGAGGAGTAGCCAGATGTTAGCTATTCTTATTCATAATTGTTTAAATCACAAGAGTAGGGATAAGGGGAAGTGAAAAAATTCTATTGAGAAAAAAGTTCGCTCAGGAAGTGAACAAAATTGGAACAGGGCTGGGAGCATAGGGCACACCAGCACTGCTGAGGTAGGAGGGGTCAAGAAAAGCGGAGAGGCTGGGAGTGGCTACCTTCCCTCTTTTATCTCATTCTTCAGGTACAGTAAGGGAAGGGCCAAGATCAGAAAAAGCAAAGTACCGGCAATTGCGTTTTATAGTTGGAGCCAAGATTTCTATCAGAGATTGAGAAACTCAGGCTATTAGAAACTTGGTTAAAGGGAACAAGGCTGTTAATTCTAGTTACACTGATATAGAAAAACCCCTCCATCTGTATTTTATATATCTACTATTTTCATTTTCGCCGCTGAAATCACTTTACTTTTTAAATCATTTTAAAGAAACTAGGGGCCAAACTTGCTTTAACTATACTCAGTTGGTTGTTTGCAAAAGCAGTTGGATAATGCATTACTGAAGCCCATCCTATATAGATAACATCTCTGACGTTTGCCTCACCATTGCCGGGGGCCCGCCCCGGCGGAGTCCAGGTTCCTGAGGGATGGACGGCGTCGGCGCGATGAGGGAGGGGGAAAATAAAGGGGACGTGAGACTTGGGTTGGTGTTAGCAAGTCCGACTTTACTGTGCACAAGTGTCGTTTATATATTTTTCAGGATTAGTACAGAAATAGTTTTACAAATATTCTCGGAGAGATAAGGAAGTAAGAAACGAGCACAAGAATATTTATTAGCATTCCATTCTATAGAGCATAAGGTTAATGATCGTCTTCTCTGCAATTAACTAGTGTTTGTTGTCTCTAAGCTAAAGGAGATAGGTACCTAGGCGTCTGTTGTAATTCATGGTAAAGTTAAATCAAAGAGAGAAGGTCCAGGCCTCCGGACAGGGCAGCAGCCCGTCTGGTTACATCCTGGTGGAGCCATCCCTGCCTCCCTCAATCATTTACGCCATTAGTGTAGATGGTTAATGGGAACAAAAGGTGACTCCAGGGTGTCTTATCCCCAGGGCTATCTGCATTCTCAGCGGGCAGTTAAACATCTTTACTTTTTCGCGCCCTTTAGGGGGTGGAAGCATTCCTTTGTCTTTTAGATTGTAGAGCTAACGGTCCCTTAAGTACACTGCCGGAGAAAGTATCATATTGTTAGTAAAGTAAAGGGCTGAAAAGCTAAGCTAAACTATAAATCTTCAAGAATAAAAAAGAGAAATAAGTATACACATAACCTTGATAGAAAGCATGCATATAATTCAGAAAATATCGGGGGTGTTGGCCGGCCATTCTTCACCGAGGGGCATTCTTGCACCCCTCGGCCCTTCTACTCACCAATTATTTATTATTTATTGCTTTTAGGAGAAAACCTCTATAACATTTTAACAGAAAGCAGAAGGTCAAGAATAATATATAGATACTTCTTGATCATCCAATTAACCAGCAAACTTAGAAGGACGATGCATATGTATATTTAGACAAAGAACTGGAGGGAGAAGGAAACATTAACCAGATGGAGGCCATAAACCTAATTCGACATCTTATCTGGGCAGGATTCCTTTCTGATTGTCTCACATGGGACTGTGTGCTCCTCCATTAATTAACTGAAAAATATCTTGAAAGTTACCTGCAGGTGGTCACATTCTCTTACTGTATCTAATTTTCCCGGGAGGTAGTGCCTCCCAAGCAGCCACCCAAAGGAGTGAAAACTGGAGGTTAAGAAAGGAAAAGGAATGAAGGGCAGTTAAAAGCAGCACAGGTTTCAGAACTATGTGAGGGGCTGGCCGGTTATTCTTCACCAAGGGGCGACCCTGCACCCCTCAGCGTTAATCGGCTGGACCCTGTCAAACAGCCGATCAAATGATGTAGCCACGGCTCCCAGCATCTCCCCCTTTTTTACTTTTTAAGGCCAACAGATGTAATTCTGCTGAAACCCGACTTATAGAGTTGAATATTAACTTGAGAAAGACTGGAAAAAGGCAAAGACAAATCATTAGAGCACCAATGGCGACAGCAATATTAACAATAAAGGAGCTCCAATTTTTCTCCCCTACAAAAGAGGTCAGAGAGGTGAAAAAGTTGGTGGCCACTTCAGAAGCAGAAAAGGATTCTTTAGCCTGATTAATATTATTAATTTGTCTATGTAAGTCACAAATGTCTAGACTAAAGTCTGAATGGTTCCATATTCCCTGGATATGATTTTTAATTTTCTCCCAGGAGTGTAGAGATTGATTTACCTTAAGAGGAGTCCCACAGATCCATCTATAGGACACATAACATCGCAAGGCCAGTTTAACCTTCAAATTTGTAAGTTCTTGTCCTATCTGTAATATTGCCTCTTCCAGAGCGTTTCCTTTGCCTCCAGTTTTTCGTCTATTATTTCTTGGGTAGTTAGGGCAAGAGTGGTATTCTTAGAAAGATCGTCTACATAAGAGGCAGTATGTATTTGTTTAGTCAGCGCTACAGCAGATACAGTGAGAGAGGTTGCTAATGCAATCAAGGCTGAGATACCCAATATTAAAGCAGAGATAAACCGGCGGGGGCGCTGTAAAAGATCAGTAGCCTGTTTCAAAGTAAGCAATCCAACATCATCATACCAAGGTCCAGACAGGTGAACAGGCAGCATGAGGCAGGGGGGTTGTTGTAATACGATTACAGCTTGTACCTCTACATCAGGGCTCAAACAATTAGTTAAAAATACAATCTGGACAGGAGATATCATAACGAGAATTATTAAAAGAGATAGACATAGCAAAACTGTGTACAGGAAAGGCCAAGAAAACATAAGGGGCCAGGACACAGGCCTTAACCTTATACAACTGTGATCCTGTTGGTCTAATCAGTACAACATTGTGTAAAGCGGCTATGGCCTGCAACAAGTGTGGTTGAATTTTGCCAGAGTCAGTAGAAAGAATAGGAGGGCGGAGGCGAGTGCGGATGGGGAGCCAGACGTTTAGAAGGTTTCTCGCGGAGTGAAAGTCGTCTCATCTGGGCTACTGGGGGAGATTCATCATCTATCTTGACTCGGAAGCTGGGGCTCGTCTGCTGCTTGCGGTACATGTCGAATCAGATGATCAGGAATCCACCAAGGAGATGAAGTGTCCTGTGGAAATATGCAAGCATATCCTCGACCGATAGTTAAGAGAATATCAGGACCTTTCCACTGTCCTGTAAGCAGGTCCTTCCATTTGACCTGTAGTAAAATATTTTGTTTATTATCATTCCAATGTCTCATCATAGGTGACTCACCATGAAAATCTAAATTGAGAAAATTTATCACAAACAGAGCATGACTTAGTAAAAGACGGGGAGAGCTATATTTGAGCTCTCCTCCTTGTAATTTTTCCAATTGTTGTTTTGGGGGGCTCAGATAGCGAGGAAAAGACAAATGTTTCAATTTTGTTTATAAATTGCTGTAAGTCATAGTTCTTTAAGAGAATAGAGAAAAAGATTTTCTTAACTCTGGAAAAAAGCAAAATATTAAAAATCAGTAATATCTCAATTAAAAAGTCATAAAAATTATAATCATCCCTATCAGTTTATTCTGTCCTGTGTAATTGGTTCTTGATCTTAATCTTCTGTCAGCAGTTTGTGAGGTCATCAGTTTCTCTGTTGGAGTTCTGTAATTTTTACCCAGTTTAGTTTTACAATCTGAGCGTTTATTAGAAACCTGTATTCTAGAGTGTTAGAGTCCTTTCCATGAATTTTCCTGAAGATGAGACATATTTGCAAAAGCAAAAAGTAGAGTAAAACAATAACTGACTGTAAACAATAAAAGACTTAAAAATGATGATTGACAGAGAAACTTGGTTATCTCTGTGATATACAACACCTTAAACTAATAATTAGAATTATGGCTGATAGCCAGGATACATCAGAATTTAGGCATGTATATAATTTCTAAAACACTTATATCAGTAACATTTACCCACATACTACCAACCAAGAAAGATTATTATCACTTTATCTGACAATGTTTCCCATGTAACTTTAGACCAAATAAGCCTGATTAGTTTAGAATTAACAAAACAGATTTGTCTTTTAGGTAGAGTTAGAAACCATTTGTTCCCAATAATGATGTTTAGATTACCCACAAGAACTTTGAGACATTAGACAAACAGCTATCATTTAAAGTTATTATGCTGACAAATTTCTAACAGACAACATGAACTTATTTGACTAGGAAACCCAGGCTGCATATTTGCATATGCAGTGCTAACTCTGAGGACATATCCAAACATTTCAATCAAACCAACAAACTTAAGTTTTCATTAACCAAAGGTTAATCCATATCATCTTAAAAGACAGTGGGTTAATTTCTATTGTATTTAGAATTTATGTGAGCGCTTAATTAAGCCAATTAAACAGAACTCTTAGTATTGCCATATCATCAAGGGTAAAAATATCACACACATATAGACACACAGACACAGAGCCTTCACACCTATTGTTTTAAAAATCACTGCCATCAATCAGGTAATGAGTCAATCTCCAAGAGAGGGCACCCCACTTGGTTGCCAGGGTGATCAGGCCCGGAAACCAGAGGGGGGGCGCTCCCAGAGGTGGAGACTATGATATTTTAAAGATTTCTTTGTTCTCAATGCAAAGCTCAAAAGGAGCCAAAATGGTCACTGTAACTTTAAGAGAGAGGAAAGAAAAGGGTCCATTACTTGCAATCTCCTGAGCCTAGGGCAGCGTTACTTGTTCTGCCTGTGGATTCCTATAGCAAGGGGTGATGGGGGCTCCCCCGCATGTATCTCTTGTATACCTTCCCTATTATGCCTGGCAGTCATAAGTGCCTGGTGAATGTTCCCAGGATAAAGGATAGAGAAAAACAGTGAGGAACTTTCCGCCAGTCTGGGGGACATTCTACCCAATTGCAGCCTGGAGCCATTCTCCCAAGAAGGGGTTCCCATACTCAACCAAAGGTTAGAGTTTGGTACTTTCCTTGAACTGGAGTCCCGATTGGGACTTTTCCCGCAGTTCAGAGTATGGTCAGGTGCCAGAGGGAGGGGTCCCATTCCAGCCTTAGGAAAAGAAACCTTCCACGGGAGTCTTGGAGATTGGCGGCCGTCCTAATGACTTAAGTGGCCGACCCGTGCCCATGTAAAATTTGTCTATTAGAGATAGAGTCAGGAAGGAATGGATTAATTCATTTTCCATCACCCTCAGGCTTAAGGTACTGATTCTCTTCAGGCTGAATGCCACAATTTGCCCCATAGAGTAGCCATGGGCAGCAAAGTGGATTCATACAGCTGTCCGAGAAGGTTCCCGATGGAGCAGTGAATTTAGATCCATCCTTGAAAAAGAGAAAGTCACAAGGAAAAAATAGGGCACTTACCAGAACTTGAGCTCACAAGCCGATGAAGCAAGTCCACCAGAAATGATGCAGGGTTGGTGAGCCGAGGAGTCGAGAGAAAGATTTCCTGGGCTCTCAAGATTTGGTGGCAGTGCTCTTTTATTTAGAGAATAGCGTGGAATAGCATGGGGACAGGACCCATGGGCAGGCAGAGCTGCTGCGTGGTGACAGGACCCACGGCCAGAACTTAACAGGTCTTGCTCTTATAATGTTGCACAAGGAAGTATTCCCAGTTAGACATTTTAAAACATACTTAGGCAAAGTTGATATAACCTCTTTATAAAGAAAATCAGCTTCTAAGTTGTGTTCCCACTATCATCCAGGTTTCCAAATTAACAGTTTCCTCTTCGGGGAACCAGGGACATTGTTCTTGTAAAAATGTAGGAATGTAGAAATCTGTCCCAAAGAGGCTTTTATGTCTCTTTTTTGCAAGCATACATGTTATTATTTCTATACAGAGCCTTCTTTCTTTAGACTCAGTATGGCCCAAAACTTCTCAAAAGTTCTTAATCTTCTTATTCTTCCTAACCTATTTCACTCTCCCTTTCCGGAGAGGGACTAAAACTTCTCTATTATTATTATTATTTTTTTTTATTTCACTCTCCCTTTCTAGAGGAATTGGGGCAAAAACTTCTCATTATTATTATTATTATTATTATTATTATTATTTTATTTCACTCTCCCTTTCTAGAGAGGGGCAAAAACTTCTCAATTATTATTATTATTATTATTATTATTATTTTTTTATTTCACTCTCCCTTTCTAGAGAGGGGCAAAACTTCTCAAAACTTCTCAGAAGTTCTCTTTAACACCTACTACCCTTCTGTCCTTTCCTCACTCTCCCTTTGGCAGAGAGGGGCTAAAGGGGGCTCTTCTTTCCAGCCCTGGGTAGGATCCTATCCGTCCCGAGAAGTGGGGGGAACTTACCCTTCAGGTCCCTGTTCGGGCGCCACTTGCCGGGGTCCCGCCCCGGCGGAGTCCAGGTTCCTGAGGGATGGACGGCGTCGGCGCGATGAGGGAGGGGGAAAATAAAGGGGACGTGAGACTTGGGTTGGTGTTAGCAAGTCCGACTTTACTGTGCACAAGTGTCGTTTATATATTTTTCAGGATTAGTACAGAAATAGTATTACAAATATTCTCAGAGAGATAAGGAAGTAAGAAACGACACAAGAATATTTATTAGCATTCCATTCTATAGAGCATAAGGTTAATGATCGTCTTCTCGCAATTAACTAGTGTTTGTTGTCTCTAAGCTAAAGGAGATAGGTACCTAGGCGTCTGTTGTAATTCATGGTAAAGTTAAATCAAAGAGAGAAGGTCCAGGCCTCCGGACAGGACCAGCAGCCCGTCTGGTTTACATCCCTGGGTGGAGCCATCCCTGCCTCCCTCAATCATTTACGCCATTAGTGTAGATGGTTAATGGGAACAAAAGGTGACTCCAGGGTGTCTTATCCCCAGGGCTATCTGCATTCTCAGCGGGCAGTTAAACATCTTTACTTTTTCGCGCCCTTTAGGGGGTGGAAGCATCCTTTGTCTTTTAGATTGTAGAGCTAACGGTCCCTTAAGTACACTGCCGGAGAAAGTATCATATTGTTAGTAAAGTAAAGGGCTGAAAAGCTAAGCTAAACTATAAATCTTCAAGAATAAAAAAGAGAAATAAGTATACACATAACCTTGATAGAAAGCATGCATATAATTCAGAAAATATCGGGGGTGTTGGCCGGCCATTCTTCACCGAGGGGCATTCTTGCACCCCTCGGCCCTTCTACTCACCAATTATTTATTATTTATTGCTTTTAGGAGAAAACCTCTATAACATTTTAACAGAAAGCAGAAGGTCAAGAATAATATATAGATACTTCTTGATCATCCAATTAACCAGCAAACTTAGAAGGACGATGCATATGTATATTTAGACAAAGAACTGGAGGGAGAAGGAAACATTAACCAGATGGAGGCCATAAACCTAATTCGACATCTTATCTGGGCAGGATTCCTTTCTGATTGTCTCACATGGGACTGTGTGCTCCTCCATTAATTAACTGAAAAATATCTTGAAAGTTACCTGCAGGTGGTCACATTCTCTTACTGTATCTAATTTTCCCGGGAGGTAGTGCCTCCCAAGCAGCCACCCAAAGGAGTGAAAACTGGAGGTTAAGAAAGGAAAAGGAATGAAGGGCAGTTAAAAGCAGCACAGGTTTCAGAACTATGTGAGGGGCTGGCCGGTTATTCTTCACCAAGGGGCGACCCTGCACCCCTCAGCGTTAATCGGCTGGACCCTGTCAAACAGCCGATCAAATGATGTAGCCAGGGCTCCCAGCACACCATGGTAATGAGTGCTTAAGCAGTTTTTCAGGGACCAAGAGTCCACTCCTGGTCCAGTGCAGGCTGGTTAAGACCACCAACTCATCAACTGGGCCTTCATGAAATGCCCAACAGGTGACCCTTTGACGTCAGGGGCCTGAGAACTCCACCCTCAGGGCTTGCTAACACCACTATTTTGTGAACGTGTCCTATGAAGAGCCAGGAAACTGGACTGCACTTGCACAGATCATCGAATACCCCAATTATCCTTACCTCCAATCATCTCTCCCCACCCTTCAGACCACCGTGCCCCTTTATCCCATGAATATCTCTAATCCCCATTTTCAGGGAGGCAGATTTGAGACTTGTTCTCCTGTTTCCTTGCTTGGCTGCCTTGTGAATATACCCTTTCTCTGCTGTGAACTCATTGTCTTGATGATTGGCATGCCCTGCGACAGGCAAAACAAGCCTGGTTTGGTAACATTAATGCAAACATCCCAGGCTAGAAGGAAGAAATCATCTTTGTACTTGGCACTCTGCTATTCCACCTGCTGTGTTTTACTTGCAGGTTTTATTTTTGCCCTGCCCCTAGTGTTTACTGAGCTTAGAGATAGTGAATACAAAACTGTAGGTGTTATCATGGGCAACTTAAAGAAATTTAATTCATAGTTATTTCATGTTCTTTCCCAAAATCCAAATCACCAAAAAAAACTTAGTGATTAAACATGCAAAATGAATAGGATTAAACTTGTATTATTAGATGAGATTCTGTTCTAGAGGATGTTCAAATGTCCCCCAAAATTGCACTGCCTTATCCTGTTCCCAAAGTTCAAGCAGACTGAATTCTCGGTTTTCCTCTATCTTTCCCCTTTGTGGGCCTGAGGCAGAATGAATATTCATTCTTGCAAATAACACAGACACTTGCAAAACCTAGTCAACATCCACCCAGAGCAAACAAGACAAGTACACACCTCAGGAGAGCTGACCATCTTACCCGCACTGGCTCCTCTCATCATCATATCCAGCCATGGCCACACCATGAAATACTTGCTACCACTTGCCAAAGTCTTCTCCCTTCCCAGTAAAAGCCATTAGGCAGCTCTCCAAACTATCTATCTATCTGCTTCCTTACAGTTGAATTTTAAATAGATGATACATACTTTTCTATAATTGCTTTGCACTGCTTTGCATTTAGTATTATCATGTACATCCCTTCCATGTCAGCAGTCATAATCTTCTAGTGTTCTGTAAGAGTTCCATTGAATGGTTCTGCTATACTTAATCAGTGAGTTACTTAAAATACTTAGTATATTTTTTATCTTTACAAACAATTCTGTAATGAACATTCTTTTATATAAATCTTTGCATACTTGCTATTATATCAGTAGGATAAATTTTAAAAAGTGAAACTGTTGGGTCAAAGGAGTATGCCATTTTTCCCCCCAGATTCCAGGCTTGTTTTCTGTTAATGAGTATTTCATATTGTAGTGTAACATACATACAGAAAAGTGAATAAATCATAATTGTATAGCTTGATGAGCTTTCACAAAGTGAGAACACCTCTATAGCCCAACCACGCCAAGAATCAGCATATTACCAGAAACCAGAAGCTACTTTCATGCTCTCTTCTAGTTACTATACTTCTGAAGGGTAACTATTTCCTGACTTCTAAGGCTCTAGATTAGTTTTGCCTGGTTTTGAACTTTATGTAAATGGAATCATACAGCGTGTATTCTTGTTTATTGCTTCTTTTTGGTATATGTATTTAAAATATTTGATGGTGCAATGGAAAATTTTCATTCCTTACATATTCTTGACCTCTCATCATAATTTGACTCCGTTGACTGTCTCTCAATCTTGAAATTTTTCTTCTTTCTCTTCTATCATATCCTGACTTTCCTCCTATCTTCTGGCTGCTCCTTCTCCTATTCCAGAGCCTTCGTCTTCACTCAACCTTAAATCTTTGATGTACTTAAAGTCCAGTTCTAGGCAATGTCAGGCAAATACATGGCTTCCGTTACTATCTATATGCCTATGACTCCTAAATTTATATCTCTATTGCAGACAACTTCTCTGAGACTCAAATATACAACTTGATTTCATCACTTGTATATTTTGAAACTCAACATCCCAAAACTGAGCAAACAATCTCCTCTACTCCCAATTGTCCCAGATTTGGTGCTGTTCCAAGGTTTTCTACCTCAGTGAAAAATACCACCAGCCATGGGTTTCACAACATAGAAACCTAGGAGTCATCTTTGATATTTCTCTCTCATCGTACCATGCAGTCACGAAGTCCTGACAACTTTTCCTCTTAAATAGCTTTGGTAATAGTTGACTTCTCACCATTATTATTGCAAGCATTCAAATCCAAGCTAAACTTGGATCATCTCTTACTTAGACTATTGCAAATAGCCTCCCAACTGATTTCCAAACAGATTAATACTCTGCTTAAAACTCTTCAACGGTTTGTATATTACACTGAAGAAGTTCCTTAAATCAGCCTTAAGGCCCTCTGCTGATCTAGTTCCATCTTCCTCCTTAAATCTCTCACTTGTTTCCTTGCCTTTCTCCACTTACTCCAAAATTTGCTCTATACCATTCCTTAAAAGGGTCAGAAACAGAGTTGAAAGTTGAGCAATGAAATCCAACATGGTTATCTAGAAGATAAAAGTAAAAAAATAATGTCATAGGTGCAATTTGGTGGGTAAAAAGCATTTTTTTTCCTTCTTAAAACTTCAAAATATAGAGTCCATTGTTGTGGTGGGGGTGGAGATGGAAAATTCCGAAAGCAATGAGATAAAGGAATAATTGCCCCAAAGAGTTCCAAGCTGCTTAAGAGGCCAACTAGCATAATAACAGTACAGGCTTCAAATCTGACAAACTCAGGTTCTGATCATGACTTGGCCACTTAAAATCTGCATCACTTTCGGTGAGTCATACCACTCTGAGCCAGACTTCCTGCAATAAGACAATACCTTACCCTTTACAAGGAATAAATTATATATACACTTAGTATTTGGCACAATTATTAGCACCTACTTAATTTTTAAATAAATGGCAGGCATATGATAACAAGGAAGAAAAGAAGGCTATAATATTATTGCTACCTACCAGGCAGGAGTAACCCATGCTTAACCAATGCTAAAGATAATGAGTATCCCGAGGGCAGAAACACATTCTCCCTAGAGCTCTATGAACTCCCCTTACTGGTGCTCTTCCCTCTACACCAAGGATGTTTCTAGGTAACCACCGGCTCAGGACGACCTAAACAATTCACTCCCAAGAAGTGATCTTTTTATTAAAATGAAGCTTTCCTTCAGCCAGTTGTTTTGACTTTTCTCAGTATAAACACCTAAAACTTGGATTTCCTCTTATCTTTGTAGTTGGGATTTTGTGACCTCCACTGGGATAAGAAACTAATATTTTCTATATGGCTGAGTAACTATGCAGACTAGACAAATCCAACCATTGTGTTTGTGCCCGCTTCTACTGCAAACGCAAGAACACAGCTCTTCCTTTACTGTTCTCAGAAGATACACAAGCAATTTGAACTCAAATTAAGAAACACTGACAAGGATAAAAGACTAACGAAAGTACTGTTTTATTTAAGCATTTAAATTTTGTTTACAAAAAAGATACATGGTTTAGTGAAAAGAATAGATTGAAATCTAAATAACAACATTCTGGCTCAGCCTCCAGCGCTGATTATCTACATAATCTTTTTCTTTTTTTGAGGAAGATTAGCCCTGAGCTAACATCTGTGCCCATCTTCCTCTACTTTACATGTGGGACGCCTGCCACAGCATGGCTTGACAAGCTGTGCAAAGGTCCGCACCTAGGATCTGAACCTGTGAACCCCAGGCCGCTGAAGTGGAATGTGCAGACTTAACCCCTGTGCCACCAGGCTGGCCCCCTACACAATCTTGAAAAAGTCATTATGTTCCCTGGTCCTCAAACTCTTCATATGTAATAAGAGAATTAAAGTTCATTATCTTATCAAAATTTATGAGTATATACATATGCATATAGAAAATATGAAAGGAATGTACATATACATGGGTGTATGTTAAGTATGTAAGTACAGTGGCCCTATGTGTCTGTGGGTTTTGCATCCGCAGATTCAGCCAACCGTGGGGAAACTGACTGTTTTCATTGCACTACACCATTTTATACAAAGGACTGGAGCATCTGCGGATTTTAGCACCCCAAGAGTTCCTGGAACCAATCCCCCACCAATACAGAGGGATGACTAGACGTCTATATGTGCATTAGCACATCCACATTCACACCTATATATGCATCTTTAGCTTCTTATGAGAAAGTAGATTACAAACAGAGGCTGGAATCGGTGATAGGTAAGATGGTCCAATCCTATGCCGACATCATGTGTTTCTAACATTTAAAATGCCCATATCCTCCATCTGAGGCAACTGAGCAGTGGGAACTTGTCAGCAATGCAAATTCTCAGGCCCTACCGAATCAGAGACTGTGGGGGAGAGGCCCAGCCAATTGTGTTGCAACCTGCCCTCCAGGTGAGTCTAAAGTGCACTAAAATGTGACAACCACTGCAATCAGACGTTCTCAGGGAGTAACTACCTGCCAGTCATAGGCAGAAGTGGGGAGCCAGTAACTAGAGGAGAAAAAGCCTGATATTCTACAGAGAACTCGGGTAGAGGCAGTAGGGACCGAGTTTGGGCAGACACAGCATGGGCGAGCACAGGGAGTGTTACTTATGGTAGGAGGGAAGCGGTGTGACTGTGAGAATGCAGAGCAGAAGCCCAAGCAGCAATCATAAAGCAGTTCATTTGTTCTCATGCAGTCACATCTGCTATGTGCTAAGAGCTGCTGGCTTTAGAATCGTTTTCCTGCAGTGGATCCCAAGAAAGATCATTATCCTCTCTTCTCAGCCACAGCTACCTCTGACTGCCCCAGTTATTACTGTGCAAACCTGAGATGGGGAGAGTAAAGGCTCAGGCTGATCCGGCATGTTTTCTCCAGACCCTTTTCAACAACCCAAGATTCTCCTGATTGCAGTTTTAGTTTTCCCCTTCTTGGCAGCTAAGGAATGTGTGTATGTTTAGTGAAAGGACAAAAATTCTTAGTGTTTTATGGGCTAGAGGTGAACTTGGCCAGAGAAAGTTGCAGGGGTGAGAATGAGCCGATGAAAACGACAAGGCAAGAACTCAGCATGGACGCTCTTCAGGAGGCTTATGGATGCCACGTTGTCATCCAGGACATTGCCCTGAGAGGGGAATCCTCGGCTCTGTAACTTCCTGGCCAGTGTGAGTGCCACCAGCCGGCTATAACCTTTCCTGCGATGCTCTGGCAGGGTATAGCCATGGCACATGGTGGCAAACTGGTCTGTGAGAGACCAAGAGACTGGGTCTCCCTTGTCATCACGGACACACGCACTGGGGAAGCAGGAGATGAGGTTGGCGATGTATTGGAGACACTGTTCATTGCCACCCCGCGACCAAGTCCGGTTGAGTAGATCAGCATCAGCAACACTCAGGTAGGTTAGTCGTGGAGAAGACCCCATTCTAGAAGAAAATGCCATGAGAAGAAATATGAACTTGGGATCGTGCGACTACAAACAAGTACTTCTCTTTTATGCTAATTCAAACTGAGAAACCATCGCAGGGATAGTGCCTAGCCAATACCTAAGCATTTTCAATGTTAGAATCCATCACTCCCACTTATAAACATCTTTCAGGGTTTCACTTCTGATAGTACAAAATACTCATTATGCCATATTTAAGTCTTCTCTTCTAAGTTCATGCCCATTTGTTATTGTCTTCAGTATAGATCAAGGCAAGTATTTCATTTTCCTGTAAAACAATTCTAAGACTTGCTCTTAAGTCCCGAGTCTGTTGACACCCTTTCTGAATCCTTGAAGAAGTCTAGATCCTTGGGCCCTAATCTTCTCCTTGGTTAAAACAAAAAAAAAGTTTTAAGATAGAACTTCTATCTTTATGCATCCATGCCCAGAAAAGAAATACAAATTGCTTAACGTTCCAGGCACATGGAGAGACTCAAGAAATGCTAGTTCTTCCAGATCTGCCCTGAAAAGGTCTGCAAAAAGGTCTAAAAGCCCATGGTGTTAAGACAAAGATAGGAATTGGTACAATTTCTAAGAACTGAGATGGATTACTTAGTTGAAAGCCTCTGGGGCTGGTTGTGCTTCAAAATTTGCTTTCACTCTTAAAGTTACCAATATTGTGAGACCATCCCCAGCGATTGTTAAGAGACTGGTAAGGTCATTCTTGCTTTGATCTTCTTTATGAAGCACCAGTTTGTGTTTTCTTTTTATTAGTGGTTCGGCAGTTTTAGCTCACATTCCAGGCATATTATGGGCTCTGGCACTAAATCAATCATCTAACCACTAAGCTGGGGGAAAGATAAATAAATACAAGCAATAACTGGCTTAATAGCATTTTTAACTTAATTTTTGAAAATGAAATTTAGAGGCTGGCCCTGCAGCCTAGCGATACAGTTCAGCACGCTCCACTTCCACCACCAGGGTTCAGTTCCTGGGTGTGGATTCACACCACTCAGCAGCGGCCAAGCCGAGGCATCGACTCGTATATAAATAGAGGAAGATTGGCACAGATGTTAGCTCTGGGCAAATCTTCCTCAGCAAAAAAACAAAAAAAAGAAAGAAAGGAAAAAAAAGAAAATGAACTTTAAAACAAGGGCAAAGAAGCCTCAGGCAAAAATGTCACTGCAAATAAAAACATTGCCAAGGCAAACGTTCTGGAGTAGTTATATTGGAGACTATGACCTTGTATCTGAAAGCCAAATATAAAATAAAATAGAGTGTACAAATTTGGCTAATCACTTAGGTGTTAAAGACATATTGTCTAACTTCCTACACAGAAGAGATCCATTCACATCAAAACCTGGTTTTTAAAGGACTGTCTGGGGATAGAGGACAATTTTAAATAACATCTCAGGGATATGACAGACCATGGGAAATTCAAACTCTAACGGACAAACAGCCTGGTTTCTTCAACATTAAGTAATATAAGACATAAAATAGATGAAAGGGGAATCTATCAGTCAAAAGAAACTTAAAAGAGCTAGTAATCATATAATACACACAGCCATATAATATATATTATAATGTATGAACTTTATTTAGATAACCAGTAAATGACAGAGCAGGGACTCCACGGTAAGCAGAAAAGAAGAATGCAGAAACAAACTAACAAATGTTTTGGAGGATTGGATTCTGGAATCAGACTTCTTGGGACTACTTCCCACCTTTACACTTTACTCCTGTGTTTTACTTCAACTCGGGTCCAAAAGAAAAGAATAATAGTGCCACCTTACAGGTTGTGGAAAGGATTCAAGGGGTCATATATTTAAAACATTTACTGCCTGGCACGTGAGAGCTCAACATAAGTCAGTCACATGCCTTCCTCTCTGAAACAACAACAAACAGTAACAACAACCTTGGACTCAGACAATAGAGCTCATTAAGAATTTTGAGGGAGGAAGATACCAAGGAATTATTTCTCCATGCATACTGTGAAAATGCAGGACAGTGAGTTCATTTATTACTAGGGACAAAGACCCCGATTTGATTTTGCAGGAAATTATGAACAGCCAAGTACAGCAGAAAGGAATAAATGCACACTTAGACTCAATGGCCTAAACCCGAGACGCCTAAGTTACTGCTATTTGTACTTCCGTAGAGTAAGTCCTATCCCAAAGCAGAAACTCGGTTCACCTACAGGGAACTGGTGTCTGGCAGAGCTGAAACAGGCGGGAGGTGCACGGCCTTGAAGGAACTGAGCTTTACATCCAACCGCTTTGACTCAGCCACAGCCTTGGAAACACCATGTAACTCACTCTGCAGCCCTGTGTGTGGAAACACATAATGAAAAAGGGGGGCATTTTATTTGAAAACTCAAAAATGAAATTTGTTGCAGTATTTTTATCATCAATACCACCCCGTTATCCTGACCGCTATGTATTTTTACATGAATTATTACAGCTACTCTCTGTCTGATTTTCAAACTTTGGGTGGGATTTTCAACCTCCCCTCACGTTGTCCACCGTGATCATGATCTTCCATGGAAATTTCTGATGTGAATATCCCTTGGTAGTTTGGAATTTATTGTGGGAATTTTGATTTTTCTGGCTCCTCAGACTATTCTTAAGGGAAGGGACATTTTATAAGCTCTAAAAGTCTACAATCTACCATGCAGCTAGAAGTGTAAGAGAGCTTAGATTTATTTGGCACAGCATTCTGACTTTAAAGACCCTCTGCCAGCCTCTTGCCTAAACGCACAGTACAGAAATATCAAGGTATAAATTTCATGTTGGTGAGATTTATCCTGAACTTAACTCAGCCACTCCCACCCATTTATCATAGCTATACTATATTTATATTACCCATAAATCTTTCTTCAGTACTTGTATACAAAGCACTGTAATGGGCACTGCTTCACACAGGGACATAAGAAGAGTCTGGTCTCTGTTTTGATAGAGCTGATGGCATGGCAGGTTAGCTTCTCTTTACTTAGAGCTGACTTGCTCTGCTTCTCCTAATCCCCATCTGCCCTATCCTTTCCGGTCTGGGTCCTGATGGATTGACTCCTCTAGAAATGGACTTTCCCACTTCCTTCCATATCTAATGGCTTGTTTCCTCCTCCCAGTAAGTCACTTGCTCTTGAAAAATACGTGAGTGGGAAGCCATGTTGAACATAGTCAGATATCTGAGCTTTGGCTCCTTCCTCAGGGAGTTAAGTCTAAGAAAAGATAAGCAGGTCTTCAAGTTAATGCTATTAAAATTATAGATGCCGTGGCTAGCATCCCATATTATAACACTGAATTACATGTAAGTAATTAAAAAAACTATCTATGAGACATAGTTAGTGCTAACCAAGGGCTTTTGGAATTGTTCATGATTTGTGGATGTTATGGAAACAGCACTTTTTTAGGTGCTCTGATTAAGATTAGTAAAGATAATGGTGACTTCTTAGAAGCTATTCAGTATTCCAAGGAGATTACAGTTGTACAAGCTTACAGTCAGGAGACGCCTTCAGAAGCCACGGCTAATGCCTGCACTGACTTACGTGCTAAATGAGGGGCCCTTACCACTCCAGCTGTATTAGGTGCTACTCATTCACATCTGTCCCCATCAAACCTTCAGGAAGGATGATTGGGTCAATTTAGTTGACTATAACTGACTCACGACTATCAGCTCAGCCTTCTAAAAAAAAAAAAAATATTGACAATTACAGGGATATTCACTCCGTTTTTTTTTTGAGGAAGATTAGCCCTGAGCTAGCATCTGCCACCAATCCCCCTCTTTTTGCTGAGGAAGACTGGCTTTGAGCTAACATCCATGCTCATCCTCCTCTACTTTATATTTGAGACACCGACCACAGCATGGCATGCCAAGCGGTGCCAGGTCTGCACCTGGGATCCGAACTGATGAACCCCGAGCTGCCGAAGTGGAATGTGTACACTTAACTGCTGTGCCACAGGGCCAGCCCCGGATGCTTGCTCCTTCATGATGCACTCAGGTGATTTGAGATAGTAGGCCCACAGCACCGAAATCCATCCAATTACTGTGATGATTTTTCACATCAAGGAAGAGATACACTCATTTCCACACTAAAGTAATATTGGTGGGAAAATTTTTCTACAATTGCTAAGTGAGTGGTAGGAGCATGTCTCACTTCTGACTGGCATAACTGGGGAAAATCAGCATAAATGGGGTAAATCTTAAAGGTGAGAGAGAGTTTAGAATTTCCTCCATAAGTTCTTTTTGAATATTTGCAAATGGATTTTATACAACATCCCAAGTCTTTAGGTTATGAATATGCATCAGTCATTGATTGGAGGTTGACAGAAGCTTCCGCTTGTGAGAGAGGTTCAGCTGTTTGTGGCTGAAAAAAAGTAACCAGACTTTATATTTCTAACAGGGGGATCCCTACCTTCCCGTAAATGATCAGAGAACTCATTTTGCTGGAACAGTTATTAACAGTAACTTCATGGCATGTTCAACCCCCAATCATTATGAAAAGTTGAAAGAGTAAATGATACACTGAAGCTGAAACTGGCCATCCAAACTATTAGAAATCTTAATTTGCTTCTGTCTTGGCAAAAGTCCTTCCACTAGTATCAATGGCCACGCAGTTATCTCCTTGGAGCTCACTTATACTCTTTCCCGAAAAATCCTTTCAGGAAATCCTATGCAGATCAGTTGATTATCTCTTTCTAGAATCATTTACTTCAGAAATAAGGAAAGGCTTACCTATTGGCTTAGACTTAGAGTTATTCTAAAAGGTTGTGATTGAAAAAGGTTAATAGTAATAAGGAAAAATATGCTGTGATACTCACTGATATCCATATCATGGTAACAGTGGGAAAAAACATGTCACTTAAAAGAAGCCCCATTTAAATGGCCCCTGCATACCCCAAAGGCCAAGCCTCATTAGGAGTAAAAAATGTGTTTTTACAAAACTCTAACACCTAAATTGTAAATATATAAATGTATGTGTGTGTATATATATGTATAGTCGTGCATATGTGTATATATACCATACATGTGAAACATGTCATATCTATCTGATATATATGACAAAAAGGAGAAAAAAAAAAAAAAAGACTGCTTAGTGCCTTGCACCTGACCTCACCTTGTATTTGAAAAACTTGTTCCCAGTTGATAACATCACATTCTTCCAACAGCCGTTGGTAAGCCCTAACATCCTTGTAGAATACAGCATAGGCATTAGTGTAATGGTCCAGGTTATCTGTCTCAGCCTAGGACAGAAGACATAATCATAAAAACATAAACATGTCCTCTAGGTAACTCAAACGCTAGCTAGATTAGACCCTGTTAGCTGTGCATGGCTAGATAATTTCCATTACCAAAATTAGCCACCTACAAACGATGGCTAAGTGGGAACGTGGCTGATAAACTGTAGTGAATGACAAGACAAATTTGGGGGCTTTTGCTTGATTATTTCTTCTGGTATTAGGGAGGTTTTAAGACATTCATTTCACATTTTTCTAGGATTTTGTTTATACAAATAAAAAGGGTATAACTCAATGAATCCATCTGCAAGAATCAAGTAGAACTCTCAGAACTTTCTTAACATGGTCAGGGAAGCACATCTTTGAACACTTGAGCCTCTCTTTGATCTCAGGGGTAGAATGGGGCAGATAATTGTCTTTGCCAGTCTTCTTCTATATTTACCCACATGACCAAAGACATCCATCACAAGGAATCACCAACCCAGTGGAATAACTAGTATGTACAAGTCTGTATGCTTCCTGCCTCTAGAGACTATGAAACACCAAAGAAACACTTCCATCGAACACACGCAGATTAGACATTTTCCATATGTCTGATAGTCCAAAGCCAGTCAAATTAGAAATGAACAGTGAAATATGCAGCTTGTTAAGCGCAGGTATATGGCAATGATGGTTATAATATCCCCTTAACCTGTCTTTTCTTTCCAGTGGATGCCAACTCTTACTTTTTTGCCTTTCAAAATTGTACCTCTTTCTGCCGCCGGGTGATAACAGCTTTGAAGTCTGGCCATGAATCCAACACCACTTCCTTTTGGAAGGGATTCCCACGATTTATGTTCATCACTGCTCCATAAACCTGAGCCAGAACCCAGAGAGACAAGCCAATCTACTAACTGTTTCAGTTGCAGATGACCCTTTTCACTTCTTTTTCTACTCTAAAATTGTGGCCATGAGAGGAGAAATTATGAATATATACACACATGTAATAACATACAAACTTCTCTCTTGTTATTTCATCAGTACACATGAAAACTGGTAAAAAGTCTATGAGGGCCTATGAAAAATCTCCCTAAACCCAGATTTTACAGTTCAACAGTGAGAGATACTAAATCAACAGGCTTACTAGATGGGTGCTTGGCACATAGGTCAGCAACAAATACTTCCTGAATGAATCAGAATCTTATGTATGGATTTAGGGCTCATACATCTTTTAAAATCCCATAATAATTTTTGTGCTCAGCTGCTGAAGTTTATTATACTATCTGAAAATACCCTGTGAAGTACAAGTGTTCCTTCAACCCTGAATTACAATTAAACATCACTTAAGGGTAAAATAACTCCCTACCAAAAACAAAAAGCCCAAAACTTCCCCCTGCATTTCAGATTTGATGGAGCAAGGCTCTGTCAATATTCCCTGAGGATCGTACCTACGTCTCATTCATTATTGTATCCATGGAGTCTGACATAGCTGATCAAATGCCTATTGACTAAACATTACTGAAGTAATATTAGAATTCTGCTCTGTGGGCTTTCACATTTTTTCCTCTACTAAGAATCAAAGGTGTCTGTCCTGGGGCCAGCCTGTGGCCAAGTGGTTATGTTCCTGCGCTCTGCTTCGGTGGCCCAGGGTTTCACAGGTTTGGATCCTGGGCACAGACATGGCACAGCTCATCAGGTCACGCTGAGGCGGTGTCCCACATAGCACAACCAGTGGCACTCACAACTAGAATCTACAACTATGTACTGGGGGGCTTTGAGGAGAAGAATAAAAAAAAAAAAAGGACATTGGCAACAATTGTTACCTCAGGTGCCAATCTTTAAAAAAAAAAAAAAAAGATGTCTGTCCTACAAAACAACTTTCATATGTTATGTGTGTACTTACAGAGAAGAGAAAGCTATGGTGGTAATGAGGACAGCTGAGATATAGGTCAGTATTTGTGGCAGCATTTCCATAAGAGCCAAAAACTGGAAACAATCTAAATGTCCATCAACAGTGGAAAAAATAAACTGTGGCATATTCCTACTATGGCTTACAAAACAACAACATAACATTGAGCAAAAGAAGCTAGATACAAAAAAGATACTTGTCATTTGATCCAACTTATATTAAATTCAAAAACAGGCAACACTAAATTATGGCTTAAGAAGCCAGGATAGTGGATCCTTTGGGGAGAAGGGAAAGGTAGTGACAGGAAGGGCACATTGCGGGGGAGAAGGAGCGGCATCTGAAATAATGTTCTTAACTGGAGTGGAGGTTACACAAATATTGCTCTGAAAATTCATTGAGCTACATAATTATGTTATGTGCACTTTCTAGTGTGTGTTATACTTCAATGAAAAAAATTAAATTACAGGGGCATTGGGACCTATAGTTTTCTTTTTTTATCACTATCTTAATTCAAATCACTCGCCTAAATGCCTAGAACACTATCCAACTCTTCTGTCTTACCTCACTCCAATTTTCTCATAATGTATTTTTCCAAATTTCATCTGGCTGATACTATTGTGTAACATGGATCACACTTAGTGAAAATCCAAGAACTAAGGTAACCTGGAAGTGTCATGCTTGTTTCTGTTAATCATTAAATTCGGGGGCTGCTAATCTTACATACACAGAATACATTTATTAAAATGGTTTACATGAGGAAACCATATATCCTTATTCAAGAATGGAGCTTAAATATGATTGGAATGTTCAGAAGGTTAAAAGGAAAAAACTCTCTTCAATATTCAAACTCTGAAAGAAATAAAAAACATAACTTGTTTGTAAAAGATTTGGAACCATCTGAAAGATTTGGCATTGGTTGAAAACAAACAAACCCTTCCAATAGCTCTTATTAGTTAATTAATTAATTTATTTATTCAAAGAGTGAATGTTGAGAGGAGATAGGAAGTGGCTAGGGGGAATAAAGATGCTGGAAAAATGAGCACTTAGAGCTTGTAAAGGAATTTGTGAGGATGTTTAATCACTTAACCACTAAGGTGAGATTATAAAATACATAGCTATAAATTCCAAAAAATGAAAGAGGGTGGACAACAATACTATCTTTTTATTTTCTAAAGGACTTAGTGTAACTGAAAGGCTGTTTTGAAAGTACGGTCAAAGATCCAAAGCCAGGCATTACATAACAATGCAATCATTGAAGTAGGTTAAAGAGTTCCAGGCATAAAAGCCTCAGTGTATGGAAAATGAGAAATTGGGAGTATCAAGTTAAGCAGCTATTAAAGAGAAGATTAAACAAGGAAGGCATCGGTTTGTACCTACATGTTTCCTTTCATTAACTCTGACTTCAGATGGTGTTATGAGAGGCAAACATTTCGAAAGAACACTCAATTTTGAATCTGATTACCTGAATTTAAATCTCAACCCTAAGACCTAGAGATGGGGAAGTGGCTTAGTAATATCATCTATAAAATTATAATATAAATATCTGCCTATTCAGAGGTATTAACATTACTGAAGGGTTAGTATTACGGAGGTATTAATATTAGTTTTTATGATGCTCAAATGAGACAGTGTGAAAGATATTTTCAAAAATTATACTTACTATTCAGATCAAGTCAAGTAATCTGAATTCAGAAGTCTTTAAAAATAAGATCTGAACAGGTAGGGAATTAGTAACTGTTATATAAAGCTTCTGTTTACCAATCAACAACAGTTTACTGAGTAATTATTATGAGCAAAGCCCCATGCCAAGCACTGTGGGAAGACTGAAAAAACTTCAACGTCTATACCTGGGCATCTGGGAGCTAAACTGATGTGGGAAAAGCAATAGATATGAAATCAAAACAACCGAGATTTCAGTTCTGCTTCTTTACTTGCCATGTTATCTTCTTTAAGCTTCAATTTATTCATTTATAACATGGGTTAATAAACGTTACGAAGTTGTTGGAAAAACAAAAAATTGCAATTCTATGTATGCTAGTGTACTATCCAAGTATAATATTTATAATCTAGGGGCCAATCATAATGTTGATGATTATAGCATCTTTTATGACCCTGTGAAGGTCACCGAAACCTTTTTAGTTCTCTCTGGCAAAAGAGTAAGCCAAACATTGTCATAGCAAAGTAGCCTACCATCTTATTCCACTTATTCGCCTCCGTGTCAGCATTCAAAACAGGAAAATTTGGATCAGTGTCCATTTGGTTCTTTTTCAGCCATATGATCCCAAATTATCACTCAGATTTTCCCTACCACATATAGTTAAGCATGATCAATAGGCGAGATGACTAGATTTTAATCAACTCAGTGCTAGAGGACATTCTCTAGATTATCTTCATTCAAATTTTAGTGTGAATAAGGATTATCCAGGGTGTTGGAAAAATTACAGGTCCCTGGTCTGTCTTTAGAAATTATGATTCATTATCTCTCTTCTTGGTTATTAGCATGCCACTCACATTTTAAAATCACTGTTTGTAGAGGTTTTTCTTTGCTCAAGAAACTCAGTCCTCAAAGACAATTCCATTACATTTTGCATTTTTTCGCCAAGTGCTTAAAATATTTCTAATCTTACATTTATTAGTAATCTTTGATTAATGTCATCTCCCACAGTAGCTCTGAGTTATCAGCATGCTCTCATGGACTTTTAGAAGACTCCACAAGTACAGGCTTGATGACTAACAAAGCCATTGAAAAAACTTCAAAAGTAAAGATCTTTAAATAAACAGAAAAAAACTTTATAATAACCCCTAAACTTCAGTTCCATTGTGTACCTACACCATGTTCTTACCAGCAGTGCCACCCAATCTCTACTCTTCTGCCACTTAAAAATTTTAGAAATCAAATTTACCTTAGAAATACTCTAGTCCAGCATTACTTAAATTTTCCTAGGAGTCGTCTAGAGCTACCGGCAAAAATATAAGTTTCTGGGGGCCGGCCTGGTGGCATAGTGGTTAAGTTCGCACACTGCACTTTGGCAGCCTGGGGTTGGCAGATTCGGATCCTGGGTGCAGATCTACACATCTCTCATCAAGCCATGCTGTGGTGGCATTCCACATACAAGATGGAGGAAGTTGGCACAGATGTCAGCTCAGGGACAATCTTCCTCTAGCAAAAAGAGAAGCTTGGCAACAGATGTTAGCTCAGGGCCAGTCTTCCTCACCAAAAAAATAAAAATAAGCTAATTAAAAAAAATAACCTTCTGGCCCATATGCACAATCCATTGACTCAGTCTCTAGCAGGAGGGGACTGGGAAGCTGTATGTTTAAGAAGTGATCACAAAGAAGTTTATTATCAGAAAAATGTTGGAAACAGCCACAAGTCTGACAGTATTTCACAGATTAATAAAATTAAAAAAAATAAAACTCTTAAATTTATAATACCTTGAGTGATTCAGGAAAGTGACTCTTCAACATTTTTTCCAGTATCAGTAACTTGGTAGAACAGCTTAGCACCAACATCTTCTCCAGAGCTCTAGCAATTCCACACCTAATCAAAAACTTGAAGGTATATGTTTAATTTTTGCCTGTTAACATTCGACTCTACCTTGGGATATCCTTGAAGACCTGTTTCCCCTGGGTGTAATTCTGGATGCCATTGCTTCCTCTGAAGATGGAAGGAGGAGGAAGATAGGGAGGCACTGGGCTAGGTAAATCAGAGGACACATGGAAATGGAGAGTGTTGCTGACCTAACCCTGGAAAGCTGTGAGTTTCTATGCTGGGTTAATCTTCCTATTATACACGTTCACTGTACCCTAAACTCTTCCTTCAGGACACAAGAACAGTTGTAATTTCATATTTCTTTGTGTTTTCTTTGATTTAAGTCTGTCTCGAGTAGCCTGTGAGCTGCATGAAGGAAGGGCCCACATGGGCTTTGCACTCCACAGCATCCCCAGCACCCGCCACAGGGCCTGGCGCATAGTCGTGGGCATCTAAGTAGTTGTTGAATGGTGATATGATGTTCGGAGTAAGAGTCTTAGGGTTAAGCAGAGAAACTTCTCAAGGACTTGAGTGGGTCAGGTGTCAGGTGGTTAAGAGGAGCAACTTGGAGAGAAAAAGACTGAAGATGAAGAAGCAGAGGTAAGCAAAGGCTGAGGCTCATTTTAGACAGATGAAATTAAGGAACGAAAACCAGCCTAAATGTAATGTACGTAACTTCATTCCTTCTAATGCAATTATATTTTCTACATTTGGGGGCTCCATCGCTCCTGCTTTCTGTTCCCAAGAAAACTTTTTTCCTCAACATGTCAATCAGGTCTTGAACGAATTAAAGAAAAAAATATTTTTTCTATTCAATATAGTAGAGCTTATCCACTCACTCTTAGCAGCCAGGCGCTAGGACGCAAAGATAACTCAGCTGACACAAGAACCTGATGCTTCTAGGATTGAGGTGGGTCGTTCCTTTACAACGCAATTTCCAGACAGAGAAAACTACTTGATTTCCTTATGTGACATCTCTGTGTGGCTATAAGATACTCAGAGTGGCATAGTGGTTAAGTTTATGTGCTCCATTTCGGTGGCCCAGGGTTCACAGGTTCAGCTCCCATGTGCAGACCTAGCACCACTTGTCAAGCCATGCTGTGGCAGCATCCCACATAAAATAGAGGAAGAATGGCACAGATGTTAGCTCAGCAACAATCTTCCTCAAGCCAAAAGAGGAAGATTGGCAACAGAAGTTAGCTCAAGGCCAATCTTCCTCACCAAAAAGAAAAAGAAAGAAAGAAAGAAAAAGAAACATCTACTCTAAAACTCTATCATACCATTTATGTGAGTTTAAGAAGCATGTTCCCTACAATCAAGCCCTGTGGGCTCCAGTTCACTGAGTGGTACACCTGATGTGTCTGTATTCTCTGCAGGAGTCAGAAGAGATACTAAGGGCCAAGTAGCACCTGAAAATCAGGCTTCTGGACCCTGGTACTCATACTCTGAGACAATATTAGGAACTGTGAACAGATCAAGTTTCCAGAGTCCAGGTTGAGCAAAGGAAGGAGAAGTGTAGTGATCATCTCTTCACCCTGTATCTGCTTGACTTTTCACTCACTTCATCTCTAAACAAAACTTTAACTTCTTAGGAGATCCTCATGTTAAACACATTCATTTATTCTAATTCAATATCTTTTCAGGGAAAATTAAATGAAATTATTTCAAAAGGAAGGCGATCATGTGTCTCTTATTACGTTTGATGTCTATAGATTTTTGTGTGTCCTAATACATAGCAAAGTAGCTGCTGCAAAGAGTAAGAATTCTAAGTATTTGTTGATGGTTTGTTTATTTATTGCCTGGTTTGTTCCCAAAAGGATCTAAAACCACTTATAAACATAGGTAAAATATATGAAGAAAAATTAATTTTAAATTAAAATTCAGGCAATGGGAAAAGGAGGAGGTACAAAAGCAATCTGGAGTCAAGAGTGAGGTCCGTAGGGAAAGCCCATGGAGTGCAGTCCTACATATAGAGTTGATCCTCTTTGTTCATGGATTCCATATTTGTGAATTTACCTACTTGCTAAAATTTATTTGTAATCCCCCAAAATCAATACTGACTGTGCTTTTGCAATTGTTTGTGGACATGTGCTGAATAGTGAAAAATTTGAGTCTCCCAATGTCCACATTTTCAGCTGAAGTCAGAGAAGCTGACTTTTTCTTCCAGATCTCATTCTGTAAACAAGTCCTATATGTGGTTTATTTAGTGCCATGGGTTTTTTTTTTTGGCATTTTTTGCCTTTTGTTGGTGATTTCACAGTTTAAAAATAGCCTCCAAGCATAGTGCTTAAGTGCAGTTGTTTGTTAACAAGGGAAAAAAGTTCTTTTCTTTTAAAGTTCTTGATATCCAATGCTAGTAATTATTTTTCAGATGATGGGTTTTCTGTTAAGAGGGATTTCCCTCTTATCTGTTTCTCTAGTTGTGCCCATGTCACAATGCAAAGAATTATATTTTGTAATGCTTATTTCCCCATAACCCCCAAAACCCCAAAAAAACAAAAGCAAAAAGAAAATATCTTTTCCCCTAAACCTGATTAATTTATTCCTCCCATATGATGTCGAATTTCATCTCTCCTCTCTCTATTTCTTCCATTTCTTCTTGTGGTTATAACCAGTGATTTGAAATTTAATATTTTAATAAATAAATGCTTACCTGCTACTGAGAGTTCAGTCTGAAACTGAGATCTTCCACCGCGTGTCAGTGCAGCGGCTTGTTCTCCATAATAGTCAGTATTCTTCAAGCCTACTTCCCTAATTAGTCCTTAGTGAGAAAAGGAGGGAGAGGGAAAGCTGTCCACACCTGTACAAAGGGAGGAGCTTATGATGTCAGGTGAAAATCGTCACATATACCACGCAAGTGTTTTCACCCCTTCTCCTCCTTTCTATCGCATTTAGTCTTAGGGTGTGAAAGCCAATGAAAACTAATGTTGATTTAGAGATGGACATTTTCTAGACGCAGAATCTATCTGTCAGGATCTTGTGGAAGGGAGTAAAAAGGAATGGGACCCAGGTAAATGGGGTATGCTAAGAAAACAGTATAGTGGTACTGACCCCTTATATATATTTATCTATCCTGAAGAAAATGATTTTGCTGTCTTAAACTTCCAAGGCTGGAAGGGG